CCCGTAACTAAATAAACCGTATCAAACTAACTAGAACACTAGTTGGAATTCTTTACCATGGTAATACTTTTGTTCCTTCAGTTAGCCTACTGATACAGATGCAATTGGAATTCAACTCATATGGACAACTTACCGGCATAATCGTTATCCGATTTCATAATTTAAACCAAAACTAATACCAATATTAACATTTCTACAAAATTCATTATTTTAATATTTCTAAACACAAAATAATTACTGCCTATAAGTCAAGTTATTAACACGCATCGTTTTATTATTATTATTATTATTGTAATCCCATTTTTTATAGTTCAAATAATCTTCAACCAAATTTTCATTTTAAGCGTGTTAATCATGAAAGCAGATATTTTAAGATTATTACATGTATTTCCCGACCAGATGCTGCCGCCTTCTTTTTGATTTATCTTTCAGCTTACTAATACCCGGAGGATTCTTATTATCCTTGGTAACCTCCGGCGCGCGACGATCCCATCCAATTTGGTATCGAACCAACATCACGTTGATTCTGGTGGGAGAGTAGTGTAGTGGCATTGGACAATAGCCACACAATCCACAAAGCTGTGAACACGAGACTACTCAGAAAATAGATATTCAATATTTAACGCGGAGAAATACCTAACAATGGAGAAGGCGCGAACAATGAATTGAATGGACTGGAGTTGATCGAGTGGCATGGCTCGGCCATGCAGGCGTGGTCTCTATTCATATTAAATATATTGTTCCTTCTCTAACCTAACCTTCTTCTTCATCATGTATTGGTAATTGATACGATACAGTGAGTTGGCGTAGTCGATGGTGTGACTTCCACGTAAGATCTTATAGATTAGGCAGTTATATCATGACGAATCTACAAATTTAGGATTAGGTCTATTATTAGAGCAGTACTAATATCATAGTAGATCATAATTCTACAAATATAACCAAATCACAGAATATATGGATTATCCTTTCCTATTATTCATTGTTTATTATTCATGGCCTTATGCTCCTAACCCTAGCTTTCAGTTCTCAAATCTCTACAGGTTAAATGTACATTATTCTTCCCAAAAGTCGCGCTTTTTTTCTACTGCAAGTAGACAGATAGCTCAATCTTATGGATGCTGATCTACTAAGGCCGGTCATACAAAGCTCAAAATCTGGCCACAAAGTCTTGTGAGTTTCTTGATGTTTTATTTTTCTTACCCTGACATCTTTTTTTCTTTCTACAATTTTATACCCTCTCATATCTTTTGATTTGCTATTAGTCCTTACTTCTTTAAACCATTAGTTATTTTCATAGCAGTGTGATATACTATGTGGACATCTAACCCATAAAACAGACTTTTCAACTATCTGATTTGCTTGTAACATGGACCTAGTAGAGACGGTGTATTCCGACCATGGGCTTTGATTAAAACAGTATTCATACTTAACACAAACGTAAGAGAGCCTAACATCACAAAAGGAGGGAGGGTGGCATTACTGACCAGCAAACATGATGGTAGGGAGATAAATTCAATCCACCCATGTCTCTAGGGCAGAACAATTTGTTTAATTACGGCTCCTTATGGTTTAGTGGGACGTCACAAACTTAAGATATTTATGCTGATTTGTCATGCAAAATACCTCATTAAATCGTGTTACGAACGTTGAATTGGTTTCACTTCCTATCCAGATACCCTATTACAAGCAAACTAGACAATTCGATAACATACGAAGCCTACTCAAGACCCTATAATACCTGAAAAAAATAATAGTACAAAAAACGAAAGTGGCTCTAATAGCTTCGATAATAAAAGGGAGATAGCCAATTGTATATCACAATACTGTTTCTAGCACTATATTTTATTTTATAACCACACATAATACCATACTCTCAGCTCCTTTCCGAATCGTCTCCATTTGTCAGTTGTATAACCACTCACACCTTGTTAACACTTATTTTCTTTAACCTATTAAAATGCTCTTTCTTAACAAATACCTTAATAAAAGAAAATTAGGCTGAGTAATCATACCTTAAACATTCCTTCATGAATATTGGCTACTCTGCCTCTCGTCCTTTCTTTTACTTGCTCCCTCTTTCAGTCCCCTTGTGATATGGAACGAAAGATTTCATCCTGCACCATCCTCAAAGCCTTAGACATTCCAAAGGGACATAAGGTTGCGACATTTAGGAGCTCCCACCTTCAGTGGACCTGTCTTTGATCATCAGTTGCACATTCGCGACGCACTTTTCATGAAGCGCGCCAACTGTGGTACTGATTAAAACCATCTACATTCATATCCTATAAATTATCAACCCAGCTATGTAATTTACTGCAGTGGATATTGTATCATTTGTATCAATTTGATCTTGCCTGTAAACTGGCATGCCTCATGTAACAAACTGTTATTTGAGAATGAATTATTATTATTATTATTGTTATTACTATTATTATGATTTAGAACATTTTGGATATATTGTATCCAGGGTCTAATTGTCTGCGCTGCAAATTCTGCACTAGGCATAGATGTGTACGCTTAGGAGCAAACGGGAAGTCTCCGTTATGTCGGTGGAATCCTTTCAATACACCATCTGCTCGTAAGTAGTGAACGACCGTGCTGAATCTTATGGCTGCCGGGAGTTTACTTAGTTCATGGAAGATTCAAATTCTATCTGACGTCCAATGCTACCTCAATAGTTCATGGGCAACAATAATAACAATCTTTTATTGGAGGAGCTTGTTTTTATTTCAGGAATAATATAGTTGATAGAAACTCTTGATTATCAAATAAAGCGATCACTATTTGTTCGGTGAAATTCTCTGTCAGATGCTGTAAGGAACCCTCAGATTAAGATCTACGTGATCAAAACATATTTAGCGGTAAATTAACCCCCGAAATTAATAATTCTGTAAGTCTCCGGCATTAGTGGTTATCTTATCAGTCTTGATTGATACACCCTGGATGAAGACGATTGGTGATGCATCCGCACAAAATTATCACTTCATACATCTTGTTACTCACCTCTTGTGACAATTAGCCAAGTTAAATGAAACGCTTCATAACATATCGACAACTTTTAAAATATATCTTCAAACACTTTCGTTCCTGACTTTTAATTTGACTGGGTTGGAGTCTTTCGATTACAGAGGTGTGGCATCTTTACGTGTATCAGTAGTTTAAAAATAACCTGATAAATATTTAAGACATCTCGCAACCTTCAATTCCGACGACTAACACGCGAGCATGTCCTTAATCTCATGTCATATACCATTCCTAACTCGCCAAATTGCCAAGACGGTACATAAGATGACAACCTATCACAGATGTCCGACGATAATGCTTCCCAATGGTCAGACGGTTTTTGTTTTTTTGATATTTTCAACATATTAGCATATCCAAACCCGCCCCATTCAGTTTCGGTTGGAGTTTAAGGGTTATTGGCGACAACTAATGATGAATATCAATGTTTTTCTTGAAAGACAAATTGCTTCGAAACGAATAATGGAAAAAATCCCCGACAAAGTATTCGGTAATGCATTATCCACCCGTGAAATATATTATATACTTAAAGCAAATTGCAAAACTGAGTCTATTTGGTTGGAATGTCGTAGACAGTATTTGTAGACTAATGAGTTTTGATAAGGTTATCAATACCTACAGTCTAAGAAAGTGATGAACTGTCGTAATTCAGTGGTGTCCAAAGTGCCTTAACACACATAACAGAACAGAAAGTTCATTAACCGGATCGAATATCTTCTGACTTGCAAAATAATGTTGATGTCGAGTTGCAAAGTATGTACTTCACATACGAAGACGTTTCGCAGATGTAGTCGTCACTCTCAGGAATTTCTTCGCAGGCCCTATGTCGATTATCGAAAAAATACTCTTATCCCCCAATATAGATCTCGAGTCGTTAATTCTCTGTGAGATATAACGAGTTGGACTGGCTTAAAAATTTAGTTATTTACAATCACCACCAAGGCTCCAACAACTACTAGCCTTTAGTTGTAAATAAATCCACAAAATGAATAGTTCGGTAAGTCTTCGACATTTGGTGCTGATCTTAACGGTTTTACTAGACATATCAAGCTGAAGGTGATCAGTCACGCATCCGCACCGGATCATGAATGGGTAATCCGTGTTACGCATCCCTTACAACTGCTAGCTAGATTAGATCAAACGTTCCCACGACATATCGATAGCCTCCCAAATATATTTTCAAACACCCCCATTCTCGAACTCACTGTTAGCCTACATTTGTTCACACTGAAAATTCCGTTGTTTGGGAGGCTACAATTTCGCAGTAGTTGTTGATGCTCGACTTACTTTATCAAACACTGAGGCTGTAACCTCCGGGATACTCTGAAATTATTTTTGGCCAAATAAAAAAAGTGGATCCAGCTTGTCAGTTCACGTGGCAATGACTCACAGAACCGCTATGAAACCAGCTGTGACAGTGGATAAGGTACTTGGCAAAACGTAGATCGGCATCTAGATCACTAACGTAGACGAGTTATGCCGAATAATTGACGGTCTAATCGAGATAGACGGGAATGATTTGATGGACCAGATAACTTCGAAGTCATACCTCGTGGTCTGCACCTAACGTTGATTACCCCTTCGTCGCATCAAGGTACTATGATTTCCTTGAAGACCACATAAAACAAAGGACGTTTTTACGGAAATATAATAGTGAAAACTGGTACAGAGAAGAAAGTACGACCACCACCTCATAGGCTAGTCCATGGCGTACGATTAATTTATGCGCGTTGGTTGTCCTTAATCCTACGGGGAACGATGGACTGTTCGATATTCAGTGACCCAATTGATGGATGATTTCGCTAGGGCGCAGTGCCATTTCACTGGCCATACAGGCCCCAAAACAAACCTGAAAGATGCAAAAACAATTCCCAGGCTTTTTGTCCTCAAAGAATTAACCTAGACCTTCAATTTCGCTATGAGCAGTGCCGATAACTCAAGGAAAATATTCATGACTAATGAATTTCATTTTGTATATATCGTTCACATAGTATATGTTGGCGAAGCTATTGTTGTAGTAAGTCCAAACAACTGAACTTGCAAAGTACGACAGAAGCTCTCAGTTTGAAATTAAGATGAGATTACGTGTTGTCGTACAACAAATTATTCTGACGCCATTCTGTCTTCATTCTACTCTGGTGCGTTTTTAAGATTGGTCTTATCATATATTATTCTATAGATTCGATTGTAAAACCGATTCACCAGAACTTATCGATCCTTGCTTCAAAGAACGCCTATGATCACGGTCTTAAATAATCCATATTGTTAAGGCCATTTCGTACGTTGGCTGTAATGTAAATCACTTTATTCGGTGGCTTTTGTTTGTGGCCATCCTAAAGGTTGATTAAATTTCTATGAAGTTGAAAAGTGCACCTCACATTAAGTGCGAAGCATTCGAAATTCTTTAGCAACAGAAAAAGTCTAATTTCTTCATAGGAATGAGCAGACCGACTAGCTGAAACGCCACTCATTCTTCATAAAAAGTTCTTTTGAACTGCCATTCACGTGCCCATCGTTACACATCTACTTTGCCAAATGGACAATTTTCTTACCAACACGCTGTTAGTTTTACTTAAGAAGTGTGTTAAAAAATTTACCTGGAAAGAGACGAAAAAAATAAGAGTTATCAAAATCTTTTTACTGTCTGAAGAGAATATGCCGAATAAGTGCATTTATATAAAAGTTAGATGAAGTCTCGCCCTAGTGGCATTGTTTGTATATTTTACGATTAACATTGGGATGAAGAACTATTTGCTTTTACCCAAAATTATACTTTTTGTCGGGCGTTAGTCAGTTAAATCTAATATCCGCCTGTATCAAGTTATTAATTAACAATACATATGAAATTCAACCTCAGGGATACTACTCGTCCTTGAATATATAAAGTTCCAACAACACTTTAAGTCTTGATTTCATATGATTTTTTCCATTTGACATCTTTTTCGCCGTGAAACCCATTGTTACTCTATATAAATTTAGTTTGTGGTGAATTTTAAGACAATAAGTAACGTTTATCTGTACCCACACTTAATAAGCATAATCTCTTAATATCCTATGTATGCCAATTAGCAAGTTGGTATAAGTTAATTTTGAAGCTTAACTTTAAAATAACCCATTCACCGATTGCTCTGGTACCAGTCACGATCTAATTGTGAGGACCAATAAAATCACTTGGCTGCCAAAGCTGAAGTGGACGGAGAAATGTATAAACCTTAATCATTAAGTTACCGTCCCATATAACTTAGTTATTATCTGCTAAGAATATCTTAAAATTGTAGCAATTTTGATACATTAGAGTTGTCTATTCTGTTGGGATTTATAAATAGATTGGATATGCCAACTACCTCATTTTGATCATGTTTTACTGATTGTGAATGCTCTATAAACAAACGTTATATCACGTGTTGGATTGTTTTACACTGCCACCATTGTGGGATATAGCCAAATGTAAGTCAATCAAAGTATGGAAGAAATCGATAGATCTACTGATTTGTGGTTAGATACTTGAGTTGGAGCTCGGCGTCTGAATATTTGGGGTGAAAAGATGTAAAACAAAAACCACAGAAAATTTTGTGAATGATGTTTTCAAGAATATGAATCCTTTATTATTCTTTGCTTTTTGTTCCATATCACATAATTAACTTCCTCTTTTTATTAAACTCCTTTGGTTACCGCCGTTGTCTGTTGTTCTCGGGTTTCTTGGTGCTCGGTGATTCGGACCAAGAATCTTTGTGCAAGTTTCTATCATGTTGCCTTGTTTATTTGAATAAATGAGCTTAAACGACAATGAAAAGTCAGCTTACTAAAAGTATCTGGAAGTGACTGTACGACTGTAAGGTAGTAATGTGACTTTATGTTCGAGAATAAAAGTCATATTTTTCACATCTTTAAATTTATTTAGGTTGTTACCTAGAATTGTATGAGGTTAAAATTAGCCATAGTTTGTTTTCGATATCTTGTACTTCAACATTGACTACTAAGAATGTTTCATCTGGGATGTTAATGATTCTTATTGAGCTGATATCAAAACTAATGACAAAAAGTCTGACATTTCATTCTACTTTCTTGGCTTTCGGTCTATCTATTTAAAAATACGTAGCTAGCATATTTTGGAACTCTTCATCATCTAATTTAATTTGGATGAGCGTCGTTGACGCACATGAAGTATAAAAACCCTTTCCATTCGTATTGTTCTCTGTTCAAAACTTAAAAATAGGTTTTTATTAGTCGTTTGTGCTTGAAATAAAAGTAAATAGATACTGAAAGTAGTTTACTTAAAGCTTCTGTTATAATATTTAGGGAAACTTTTCCCTTAATAACCACAATTTTAGTTAACAGCCTTTCAAGAATAGTTGGAGTGGGTTCTCGAAGTAGTATTCAAATTATAATAACTATGAAAGTTCTACATCCTATTTCTACCTGACACTGTATCACTAGGACGTGGTCAAGCACAACCTTACTATAGTTAAAGTAATTATCGAATAGCTCTGACAAAGCATATGATATCCATTAGGTTAAAGTAGCTTAATTATGGATTTATTAGGTAACGGATGGTTATAAGTTCTGTTATCAAAACTCATTTTGGTAAACAGAACGTTTACCTAAATATAGTCTGCCCATTTTCGAACGTTTCCATCAAACTCACGTTTATTTATTCAGATTACAGAGCCAATTATATCCCTAAACTCATGGGAAAAAGAAATGTTTTCGTAATTGGAAGCTATTATGGAAGAGGTATGCATTTTCAATTTATATGTCTATATCATGCCCAGGATTTGAGTCTATCTCATAGCTGCACACCACCCGAACCACCAGTTCGATCTTCCAGCACTATGTAAGTTAAGTCTGATACATTCATGCTCAATAATTCTAGGCATCGACATCCCTTGAAGGTTGCACCCAAAAAACCACTCCCAGATCTGCCAAAGAAAGCTGGAAGAAGCAGAAGTAATTTCATATCGTATCATTGCATGTTTCCCCATTGTGGTTTTACATGACAATATCTAGCTTATTTCGTTAAATAATGCTCGTGTACAACTCTTAAAATCTTTTTATTTATAGCATAAATGCTGTAGGCCTAAAAACAGGAACATAACTGTCTTTGAAAATTATTTCATCAACAAATAAATGATATGAGAAACGTTTCAAAACGCTATCCGAAGCTACAATAGCCTACCAAAAGCTTTACATGAAAGTAATGTAATTGTGAAATATAAAAACCGCGAACGGTTGTCTTGAAATATTAACAGGCTCCGTCTAAATATTTTTGCTAGTTAGATTTTCCTACACATCTTACCATATGTTACTTAATATCATGTGCTCTGAGGCAATTAGAACGATTTTATGTATCAACACTGTTATTTTGGAAGCCTGCTGGTTTTCTATAGTTCTCTAGTTAAGCGTCTCGCTTCTGGAATATTTAGGTCAATTAATTCTCTGTTAAAATACCGGTGTTGTCACATATGACCAGTGACTGAATTTTATTAGTCAAGAAATGTGATATCTTTATTAATGCAAGTAATGTAACGTAGCTATATTATTTACAACCATTTTATCCACCAGGAAAAATGCCTTTAGTTATTCAGGGAGAAATTCGGAACCCAAGAAACGTTATCATTTTCAGTTGAAACGAGGTGGACTAATAGTATGAAAGTACTTTTGAAAATTTTCGAAAAAGTTAGAAGAGCGTTTATTCCGTTGTTTATAATACAATTTCACTTGCATTTAGGCAGTGAAATGTTAATAAAAACTTTCCATGTAAGGGATAGAATAAATTATGCAATACTAAAAATCGGCTGTCTTTAATTAGAAAAGTTGAATTAAAATTGATTGTATTAGTTTTCTTTAAGCTTTACTCTGTTCATGGATAAAACAGAAAGGTACTCTATCAAAAATACCAAAGGCAAGCATCGTTAATGACCCTATATTCTACTATAATTGCTGTTTGTTAATGGTGTTGAAGCCCTAAGCTGTCTTCGTATTCGTTGGAAATTTTTGATAAATTAGTAAGTGGAAAGAAAATCCCAAAACGGGCTTCATAACTGTCTAAGTTACGTCTACCAAATCTTTCCATTTATATAGTCTCACTTCTGCATCTTAAAGGTTGAAATGTGATCCAGAAATTGATTCTTAGAAGTTTGGATAACCGGACTACAGATTTAAAACCAATCACTGAATTAAAATTCAAAACTCAATATTGCTATCCTTTGACAACCATTCTATGCAAACTATATGTACTTTGGTTCAAGCGACTAAATACATTAGTTTATGGGTCACGGATAGTTCTGATTGTTGTATATACTGTATAAAAAGAGACATAATAAAATATCCTTCATTGCTTGAATCCTATATAGCTTCCTTGGACGTGCATAAACGACTATTTAGATAGAAATATATATAATTTTCGTTGATTTTTAAGTTCGTTAACTTCTGGTCACATATTTAAGTAAACTAATTTCACTTTATTGTAGTTAGATTATTCAGGTTACCTAAGCTGACTAGTGATCCGAAAATTTCTTCTCCGTTATGCGTTAGTCATGAACTACACGTGGTGTATGATGAAAATACCGGAGAATTCAGAGTAAGTTTCTGAAAAAATGAAAATAAATTTACCATTTCATTTGTATTTTTATTGTTGCATCCGTTGGCTCCTAGTGTTCTGTATTTATGATCAATAGGTTTAATTGAAATTTAACTGTACAACTGTTATTCATCTGTTCTTTTATAATAAACTATCCTAAAACTTCAACAATAAGTTAAAACAGACAAGACTACTCATGTAGACAGCTATCAAGATCACTAACAGATATTTCCTAGACGGGAAAATCTAACAACTTTGATCGGTCATGCTTTGGTGCTTGGAGTTTTAGTTATTTACATCAAAAGGATAAGAAACTTTACTGAACCGACACTGAGTTGACGTGCGCACATTTTAGATAGTTTATTGAATGAGAAAACACTTTATTATTGCTTTTTAGCTTTATCTGGTTTTCCAGACGATTCTGACCATTGATAAATTTTATATTGGTTTTGATTAGTGGTTGTTTGACTCCCTTTCTTCGGTCTTAATGTACTTTCGTCTTGAGTTTAATGTATGTCTGCATCTAACAGTATGAATGAAGACAAGTTCTTGTTTTTCATTTCATTTTATTCTATATGGAATATCCCATGGCATTCCATACCATGCAAGTACAATATTCTATAATTCACTCTGTTTGACATCGAAATGTGATGGGCCGTCTACGGAAACTTCAATCAATAGTGTCCTAAGAAAATTTCATTTACTTTTCTTGTAATCAATGCAAGCAAATAAATTTGATGAAATTTTGTTACGAGGTTTCATAGAAATCAGTCTAACTTATATGTCGTATTTGTTACGATGTCGTCAGTTTTGGTTTCAGTGCAAATTGCTTTACAGTAGTAAGTGATTACTCAACAAAGCTCACTCACAAACTCCTGTTGATATAGCTTCAAACACCACATGCAAATCGATCTAATATGGTCTAAACCTCTTGGAAAAATACAATAGTGCACCCTTAAATGATTTACTTTGAGGTGAACCAACTTGGTTTAAGTGAGAATTTGTGATTATCGGAGTTTGGCAATGATATTAGACAACTGTTACGTTGTTTCACAACCCAACTGAAGTTGGCCGGTTCGATTGTTGGGCTTTATTTCAGCGATTTAGAAGTGAAGCGTTAGCTACACGACCTATGTAGCAGGAATTTAACCTTCGGTTTAGCTGTGGAAGTTCTGTACGTGAGAAGACGTTTATACCTTTCTTTCTAATTTTTAATTGTATCCAAACATATGTGCATCTATAGTGAAGACCATAATAAAACAGAAAAAATCTCTATTTTTTAACTTCGATAAACACTGCCCTAATGTAAAGGGCACTGACTCTTTTTAATTGATTGTAAGGAAAAGAATATCTACAAAACGGAAACACGGTATTTTATTTGCTTTTATCAATATCAGAAGTGCATTCCTTTTGATTGTTTTACTGTGGCTTTTTGAATGCATGTAATAACTTTTAAATGTCCAGTTATATGTTATACATATTCTTAATAAGTTTTGCAGAAACATTTAAATTTTTTACATCTGAATGTTAACCATAGTTTCTCAACGAATTAGTAAAGTGGACTACCCACTTAATAAGTTTTTTCTTCCAGGGAATGCCTGAGGAGTGGTTGGAATGGTTACATGCCGCTAATATATCATTTCAAGAGCGTGAGCAAAACCCAGAGCTCGTTATCGAAGTTTTGCAGTGTTACGATACGGCTAAACATCGGGCTAGGAGACAAAAGTTTATTATGACGGAAGAACATTGCTGGGGTAAGTGAACACTTGAGATGCAATTTCTTATCACTGAAATCTTATCATTACAGAATGAGTAGGCGAAATACTGACTAGTGTGACTGAAAGTGTAGATGTTTATTAGTAGTGGTAAAGTTACGTTGTTTGCATTTAATTTGTGTGTACAGTAGAAGGCTCATGTTCATAATAATATTTCACAACGATAAGAATAATAAGAATGATTGTTTCACAAATATGACCAATAGTCAATGAAACTCAGGAATGATACAAAATATTATATGAGACTCATGTTTTATATTATATGCTAGATCTAAGTGTTGATTACTATCCTAGTCGAGCCAACAATTTATTTTCATGTAAATAGGAATCTGAGATTGAGGGGAAGATTTGAAGCTCAGATGGATACTTTTGATGTTCACCTGTTCTCTGAATTCAGTGGCTTAGTTGGGAGTCCTTCACTGTCATTCTGGAAAAATTCATCGGCACGTAATTCATGTGGAAGTGAAAATTTTGGTTGTTCCACAAGCTTTAAACTAATTTGTTCGAATGATCTTGTCTTAGCTTGGTTTTCTTCGCAGATTTCGTCATCTTCATTTGTTCTGGTATTTGTGTAGGCTATCTTGTTTGGCTGACCTCTGGATTCGATGATGTTTGACTTTTTACGCATGAGCCGGTGAAAGGATTAATGTAGATTAGTCTAAATGCCATGCTTATAAGATATTCTTAGAATTTTCTCTGCTTAACATTTTGACGCCTATTCAGACAAATGCTTATCTATAACTGTCGACGTGCAATAATATCGGTAGTAAAAAATCATATAGCTTTTTGACCATTCTGTGTTCATGTATGCGTAAATGAAGGCATGTTCTTACTTAGCTACATTTGGTATTCTTTTTATTTTTGTATTTGTCGCGTTTCGTCTTTCTCTCTTCTGCAAAACATAAAATAGAACGAAATGGCTGTATATATATTACATAGTCCTGATAATCTTCGTTTTCCTGGTACACTATTAAAATTTGAAAACCTTAAAGTATCCATAACCACTTGATTATATATGGAAAACTAGGTGTTGAAGTCATGGTATGATGACAGCTTTCATGTGACGCTTTTAAATACACAGCTCGAGTTTGAAATGATGAACCACTAACAGCTCTGCAGCGGAATGATTTATAAGATATTGTTGTAATGTTATTGTATCTATAATTTAAGTTAACTAGTTTTAAAAAACTGTTTAAATGTTTTTGCATCTCACGCGTAAATCTGAGTATTGTTTGAATTTAAATAAATGATTATTTGACATATAAATAATAGTAATTCCATAAAATTTTTCTTGCTCATCTACTTAATACCAATAATATTAAATAAAATCTAGTTATTTGACTCTTATTACTATGGATGTCAACAATCTACTGAACGAAATTTCATTAATTTTCACCTGAGAGCACAAAGGTCAATGTAAAGGGGAATACAAGTAATGATGAACGTCGTATACAATTATCTTAATTTCAAGAGAAAGGCATTTTCGGCACTTAAGACTCACTAAACCTGAAATTCACCAAACATTACTGAAACACTTTTAAAACATCTATCTAAATAGATTATCATCTAGCTGTTTCAAATAGATGTACGAGATAACATTACTTGGTTGATAAGAATAAAACGTTGTTACCAAAATTGAAAAATTGCACCATTTGTTGAAAGTAGACTCTTTATTAGACATTTAGAAAATTACGTTTTTGATTGTTCGTACAGACTCCAAGATCCAAAAATGTTGTTCCTCATTTCGATTGTCTCCCTTGTTCATGTGGGCCTTTTTGATGGTCATTCTTTTGTTTTCGCTCTTATTAATGTGAAGCTGGAGACTAAGATTGACTAAACAAAACTGCGCTTTACGACAAATTAAAACTGGACGAGTATTATGTACGGAGGTCCTGTCAGATATAGTTTATTATGCTTACCAAGAAAGGGTAAATATTTCTTTATGCTATGACATGAGTATAAAAATTGAAAGATTGTTATCATACAACAAATGTGATTGATATACGCATAAATCTGCTCTCAGGTTGGACAATTTTGGTAATAAGAAACATAAAGAGCTGAAATTTTTATATAATTCCTGGTTCCTAATAATCAATAAAAACGATTATTCTACTCAAGATACAGGGAATAAATTCACATTTTTCGTTAGTTGCAAATTTAGTGGGAATAAAGATCTTGCGTTTCATTACTAACTATATTATGTGAAACGTTTGTCGTATTAAGCTGATTATGTTCATTGGATGTAAAGCATGTGTAAGCTCTTGTGTTTTAGATTAGATATTTTAAGAAGTCATTGAGATGTGTTAATTAATTTTACCTACTCTAATTTTTTTTATCAGTTTCTTCGTAAATATGTACTTTCAGTAATCAATAATGTCATGATAAAATCTCCAAATTATCTATTTCGATTTCTAGTATGAATAACTAATCAATTAGATATATGATCGAAAAACCTTTTGCTCCTGTCTGTCTCTCCGTCTTTCTGTCGCCCAATTTGTATTAGTATTATCACATATTATTTTGTTTGGCAAAATGCAACCAAATCTTATAAATTATATCCTGTGCATTTTTTTTTTAAAAAAAAAACAACCTAATTATCTGGTTTGTGATTATTCTTTTCATAATAAAATGGTAGTAAGACAGGATATACTGCACGTTCAGTTCTCTTCAGATTTTGAGAGAGACAGAGAGAAACTGTGAAATGATTTGTTTATTCTTGGGAAGATTTTAAGCTCCTGACAACCAAACAAGTCTTATATGAACATAACCTAGATATTAAATCAGTCTTATTTGTCAACTTACACATAAGAATACAGATGTCTGTTTGATAGATGGACCAAGAAATGTTGCGTACACACAGGCGATAGTCAAACAATAGTATTAGTACATTAATAATCAGTCTATTATTTTTATTTATAATGAAATGAACAATGCTTACCATCCGTTAAAATGTTGTTATATATTAGTTACTTTAGACCTATGAGATAATTAAAAAAATCAATCTCAAGAAGAACTTTGAATAATGCTATATTCGAACGTCTTTAAACACACTTAAATTTAAATAGTTCCAAATAAATATTACAGGTAGGTAGATATCTGCTGGTCATTTGATTTAACTGTAGAACCTAATCTATCACTTATAAGAAAGAACTTTAGCTGATTACCATCCTTAGATTGCTAAGTGCAATATCAATATATTTTATTATATGACTTATAAAAGAATAATATGTAATGATCTACCAACTACTTCTTTATAATCGTCTTTTAGCAATAGAACGGTATTGTTCCTCTTCTCATTAACTGTAGCAAGTACGAAGTATTGATTGACTGCACTTGTGAGTCTGAATTTTTGGCACTATATGACTTCTTGCAGTATGACAATAAATGGTATTACTTTATTGACTTACAGTCGAATTCTACAACAGGATTATGAGTGGGAAAACAAATGTCTTTGTCAACGAACAACGTCTAAGTACGTATGAAATGTAAGCAACCTCAATATGGCAGTTACTAGATGAATACTTTACTAAATTATACTGTTTGTTGTCGTACATAGTTTTGAAAAGTATTCATTTCAATTAGTCGGTTACTTCATCATTTTTAAAGACAGGTGTTCATGAACTTCGTTTGCTATGAATTTAAACTAACTAAGAGAAATGAAGGAATTTGTCTTTATATCTAAAGATCATTGCAAGAAAATGAGGAAATTTAGGAATAAGAAGTTAATCGAAAAAAATGGGAGAGATTACTTGTAAAACTAATTTATAATTATTACCTAATGATTACTTGTAAAACAAATTGAGATAAACTGAAAGCTGAATTAATCTGCAATTGTTAAAATAGATGATTAGACTATTTATTGATCGAAAAGTAATAAGATAAACATTCTATGAATTTACTAGACCTTGATTCTATAACGACAGAAGGAACATCTATGTCAATAGGTTATTTGTTGTTGAATCAGTACTTAGCATACTGGTAACGATCTAGCATATTTGACGTCGTGAGCTTTAAAACTATTGGTAATAAGACTGATCAGTATGTCTACTGTTATACTGATTATATTTCATGATCAAGATTTTCGTCCCAGTTAGTCTTTTATTCATCATTATATCAAGTTAAAACTAAATAACTTCCTACTAATAAAGCAACTGACGTACATTCTTGATAACGCATCCCTATATGACTAGTGTGGTCTTTCTCTCGTCTAATCCTTAGATAAATTCTGCGAATAACTGAAATTCCTATTAATTATGAGGCTAGCCAGTATATCAAATAAAATTTTAGGATTTCTTTGGATAAAGGAAAATTAATTAGTATCAGTTATATTCAACATTTCATGTCATTTATCTGTATTTGGTAATGATAATTTCTGAGTAGTGATATACAGCTTTCACAATTAATAACGGCAATGCTTTAACAAAATTATGATATGCGTTTAATTTCGTGGTGGATTTGAAGTACTCAAAATTAATTAAAAATGAGTCTAGATTAGTGCATTTGAAGTGTGTTTAATTATAAAAATAATGTCACCAAAAATTTAATGATTATATGTAATATAATAAAGTTTCTTCGCTGATATGCATATTTTTCAAATAAATCTGAAGAAGAATGTGAATGTTCATCTTGTTTGAATATTCACTTACTTACTACATTCAGTACACAATTTAATACACAGCTTAGCCTAGAGTAATAACAATCTTTTATCGAAAACGAAGCTGTTGACAACTTTTCATTTGAAATAACCAGTGTTGTGCTGACTTCTCTAAACAAAAACTTACTGTTTCCTCTGGGTTTTTTTTAACATCGACCAATATGGTTCTAATCTGTTAAATATGATCCTTTATTTATCTATGTAGCTTATGAATTTAAAAGATCGTTAAAATGTTTTTGTTAAATGCTACTTTGAATTATTTTCTGAATTTAGGTTAATTTACAAATCCATTTTCCGTAGATTCACACTTATCCAAGTCTTTGTACATCTGTATATTAACAAAAACAAAAATGGTTTATTTTGACTCTCATAGTTATATATTAGCGCTATTATTGTAAAAGTTGGAGTTACTGTTTCTAACCTTATATTAAGTAACTATCCATTACAAAGTACTTTCCAGACCAAAATTAAACAAATGTCCTGTGTTCCCTGGTCATCAATGGTTTGTGTCAAAAACTGAATTCATGGAAATTTATATGCATTGTAAATCGAGATGCCTGTATACTAGATTTATTTGGTGTGATTCAATGTTTTTGCGATAAGAGTAATAAATTATTCAGTCTATTGTAACGAGAGCATAAAAACAGATTAAGTCATTTGAATACATTTTTATTTGGACATTATTTTATAAACGATGAAACAGATTATTTTTTAAAGTTTTATTCCGCTTCATTTAGTTAGTAACTGTTTAATTTTAGCATAGATTTTTTGCAAATTTAGTTTTTTCCTATTCATTCAGTTATCTTTTAACAAAAATAGTATTCAAAATATCACACGGTACTTTAAAGAGCTTCTTAATCGATTCTAAGTGTGATCAAGTATGCAAACAAAGCGAATGAATATGGAATACATTTCTGAATAATTATCTAATGTATTCCCAATAGTTATGAACTCATTACGAAGAGTAATGGATATATAGATTGTGAAATATGATTAATCTTTTATTAACAAGAATATTTCGTCTCCATACACCAAAACATTCTCAATAAATTCGAGTTTCAAATAATTTGTTCTCTAGATTAATTCCAGATATCAACAACACAGCAAACATTGTAAGATGAAATGATAGATGGACTGTTGTTACTGGTTGTTTGCTTTTACAAATAATTTATACGAAAACTCTACATCTTCCTTTTCATTGTAGGTTTGCTAACCCATGTACGTACTAGCCCTTTTTTCAAACTTTCATATCACATTGAAACATTACTTCTTCTTCCATCACAATTACTTCGATATATCATTTCGTAATTGCTATAAAGCTTATAATCCCGTGTTTCATACTTCACTGCCTTTCACGCTGATCATATTCCCACATAAATTTAACTCCTATTTTCAAGCAAAGTAATTATAATTGTTGTTTATCCGTAAACTAATTATTTTTTCATATGAAACCACATTCGTAAAGCATTTAGTTTAAAATTATGGGTGGAATTATAAAGGACTTAGAGAACATGAGATGAACAAAATTCGTTTCAATCTGCAACATTTTTGTTCTTAGTTTACGAAATTTAGTCTTTCACAAAGTTTTAGTTTTGATTTCGGCTATACCATTCACAGTGTAGAAGCTTAGGCTCAAGTCCTCAGCTGTCTATGATCGATCACATCATTAGGACAATAACTGACATTTTTGATTGAACGGATAATATACTGTTCAATTATTGGGTATTTTAATGAACTGAAAAAATGTTTACTTTACGGAGGTTATAATGTCTGTCTGTTTATCTATCTGTCTGTCTGTATGTTTATATGCACATGAAGTTTGAATGAATAAACAAGAAAGAAAATTGAGTATCATTGTTTCTGTATCTCCCTTCAAATGACCGTATACATGCACAAATATATAGTGCTGATAATGCTTGTCAATTCCATTTTTCAATATTCAATGTTCATGATTAAATATTGTGTTTTATTTAAATACGAATTCAGTTTTGAAGCAGTTGGTGAGAGCGCATGGAGTAAATAATCAATTCATATTGTTCTGAGTCGTGTCCTTCTTGCCTTATTCATATGTATAGAAAAAAATAATTAGGTAATGTAATTAATGTAATGATGTTTATCAAAATGTAGATATAAGTAAGATGATTAAGGTGATTCCAGGGTAATTTTTTGCAGTTATTAGCGGGACATAGATTGTATTACATGCTCAAAGCACCCTTGCGTTGGCGCACTCTGATTGGCTAATTCTTATCCAATCAGCGTTAGTCAATACTTACTGAACACTAGAAACCACATGTGAAAACGATAAATATACTAACGTTTTCCCTATTGCGCTTCTTACTCCCATCTAACCTTGTTATTCGGAATATAATCTCTTTTCCTGTTCAACCGTGTTCTGATTTGGGGGACTTGTCGAGTGAACTGGTGTCTGATAATATTAAGCAACAGGAATAGCTGGGTTGTAATAAGAGAGAATTATAACAACAGTGTACATTTTAACAAAATAAATCACAGGTTTATGCAACTAATAAAAATGTACCAATATGTTTTTATATTCTTAAGATTTAGTTAAATTGAATTTCAAATTAATTAATTAATGGATAAAATACACGAATTTTTTTAGAATAGAACTTTTAATAAAATTCAACGCTTGTTACATTTACTAATTAAGATTACAATATCAGCTATTGACCAAAATCTTATGTAATAAAAACTTTTTCTTAGTAAACAAGATTTTTATTCGCTTTCAGAATGTTATTTTGGCTTTTAATGAAAAGATCTGATATTAGTTCTTAAGAGTTAAAGTAACACTGTTCATATTTCATAAAAATGCAATAATACTGATATGGTTACTGTTTTCACCATTAAATTCAAGAGTCTAGTACTGTTTGGACTTTCACGTTTATATTTATATATTGAATTATTTCCACTTATGTTTATAAAGCTATTATAACACTTTTCCTATTTGAATTATAGTGTAAGTTATTTTGTAGGGTTACTGTACTGAAATTTATACCATCTGTTAAGAGGACTATATCTGTCGTATGAAATGTGTTTGCTTAAATATTTGTCTATTGGTTTCCTTGTTTTAAAATTAGCTCAAGATAAACGTTAATTCTGGAATAACTGAACTTATTTATACTGACCTATGAAGTACTATTAAAACTAAAAATTATTTCTGACCAATGCTAAATTACTGAAGACAACATTTAAAGTTATTGTATAAAGTGTTTTTAAGAAACTTAGGACTTAATCAAATTAAAATGCAAGAATTGTATATCATTTAACAGTCATTCATCTCGTTTTATAATCACCCAATCTATCGAAAATATACTGTGCAACGTTAATCTGTTGAAAATTGATTCAAATATATATTCCATTAAATCAATTATTTTAGTTTCTTATGGCATTTTTGTTTTCACGATATCGATGAATGGGTTTCGTACGATGAATTTTTGATTAATTACCATATTTTTTACCAAATATTAGTTATTGATAATTCAATCATGAAATCACTAACTGGTCAAATTTCCTAATTCAAACAAATAATCAGTGATAAATAACTTAATTTGCAAATAAATGTATTGAAGTGTTGTATTAATTTATTACCCTAACTAAGCAAACTTCTTTTCAAATCATATTGTAATATTTTAATGCCACTATTATTTATATGGAAGCAAAATATCCTTTGACTATCAATTATGTCTAATAATGTTCTTTTAGGAAAACAATAAGTCTTTTTAGTTTCGCTAAGGTATTAGAAATTAATCACATCTTAAAATAGTGTATTACATTCCTATTGAATATCAGCATACATTTTTTATTCAAATGATATATGAAATAAGAATTTGTGTAATTTTTGTATGCTGAAAGGTTGTATTTGGTTTTTACATGGTACAATGTAAAACGTTTGACTGGAAATACAACGCCTAAAATTATTTGTACTAAATATTTTATGATTTAAGATAGAAGGATTAAGTATAAATATATAAATGTAATAAATAAAATATTGTATTAGTGAAAATAAAAGAAAAAAAGGATTATCATTATAGGGTTGTGGAGATCATTGAGTTTTTATTGAGACCATGAAGCGCCATTGAAAACCTTGAAGCACTTGATGGCCGTTTAGCTTTAGTGTGGGGACCCCTCAGTTGTTTCTTTTGGTCTCACACAAACTCTTAAGTTCTAGACCAGTGAGCTGGAATCCAATGATGTTAACATCTAACTTCAACCAATCCACGACAGTGTGCGACTGTCTTCCATTGTCCGTCCGGCTGTTCAGTACTCACAGGTTTCAAATAGTGGCCTAAAACTGATCAGTTCATAATTTTCATTACATAAGCACTTTTATAAACTAACATACAGCTGTTTAATTTCCTTTGATCTGATACTACCGATGACTTTTCAGACATAATATTCTGTAGTATATTTCACTTTTTACTAAAACAAGTCTATTTTTATTTTAATTTATAGAAAATTTTGAAAATACCACTTCATGTGTATGCCATCAGTTTATAAATAATGAAGTTTCTGCTAATCACAGATGTAGAAACTTTCAACATAATTCAACTGATTCAACTTCTTCAAATGCAATATCTGGGGATTCACCATGTTCTGATCTTTCTATTCCTAATTCATGTCAATTTTCTTGTAAGTCAACAACAAAAGATATTCCACCAACAGCACTACGACGACCACCACCTGTTCCACCTCATTATTCCGTTACTCATCGACAGGATGGAGACAAGAATTTAGAGATAGATAAAAATGTAATTTTGAATTGGTCTAACTTAATGATGATTTTGAGCTAACGATTTGTTGTTGTTAATAATAATATTAATAATGTAACAATGTTACACTGTTTGTTTGAGACTTAGTGTTACAACATAGGCTGACAAAATTGGATGAGGTAAGGCAAGAGTTGATATCGTGACCTTTTAGGGTAAGTTCAACAAGGTTAACCACTGAACTACTGGTTCATGATTTATATTTATGTGATACTGTAATTAATTTTTACTCCATTGTAACATTTCAAAGAATTGTTAATTTGTCTACCGTTGTTTGAAAAATGTTTTGATGTAGTCTCAAATATGATTTATTTTATGCAAACATGATTTCATGTGCGTTATTTTTCTATTATACGTGTTCTATAAAATCTTTTTGTGTGTTATCAGTAAACCCTATATGATTTACACCCTTGAGCAAATTAGGCTAAATGTCTCTAATATTATGTCCATCGGACTGGATTGTAATACTATATAGCCGATTGATAATAACCAAAACTTTCTTTTGCTAGTTGTCCGATTGTACCACCTAAATTTTTATTAAAAGTCCCGTTTTTTTGCAATAATACATAACGACTTTTATTTAAAGTGAGACAGTTTCTTATAAAAAGCAAAGGAAAACCATCATTGGTCTGCACTTAACCTCAAACATACTCTATTGTTTTATGCTCTTTTAAGTTCTACAACTCACAGTCATCAACTGGCACGAAACAAGTATGTGAGGAAAGCTTAGTATCTGGCCAGTTCTTTATTTTCAGTATGCGGGCGGTGGGAGTGTTTAATTTTACTGAAATTACTAACCAATGTTAAAGGTTTTCAACATTTGTCTAACTTAGACTGAGTTCTGGCATTAATCAATCTCAAAATCATTCGCAACTTCCATACCGACAATCATGATGTGATTACTAGTGAATAGCTTCAAAAAGAACTTTCCGGAGTTCTAGTTAGAGGCCTTAACAAATGGAGTTCAGTCGTGCTGCATATGCACAAGTCACCCACAAAAGACGATAAGAATTGGTTGTCTAATATAGAGGACCGATCAAAGTTAAACTTGGACAGGATTAAATCCCGGCTCAATTGTCTAGAGGTTAAGTTTTCGTGCACATGATCTGAATGTCTTCAGTTCGATTCTTAGTGGCTGGGGCGTGTGTAGTCACTGTCGAGGAGCTCCGTACTAGAACGAAACAGCTATCCAGTGCTTCTAGGTTTTAGCGATTCTTTTGCGTACTTATTTATGATTCAAATCGGAAACTAGAATTCTTTTCTGAATAACTGAGCAAATTTTGTTTCGTGATTATCAATACACTATTCAAATATTTTACCAGTTCAAATTTTCATACTAACTGTCAATCTGTTGATATGGAATAATGAAAATTATTTATAGCAATAAACATTATTTTTTTATCTAAATTTTATCGTTATTGTGAAGTTGTAACTTGGTGGTTAAAATTATTGACTTTTAATCACTTAATGGAAGTTTAGGCAGTTAAGTAAGTTAAACAGACATAATACAAGTATTGTAGAAATAAAATAATATGAAGGTTTTCTTGATTGTAGATTTATTTACATTTATCCATACCACTTTTTGAGCATAGTACTTTTAACTTATGATAACCTTTCATTTGAAAATAGATATAAAAAATAAAATACCAGTATAAGTACATTTTTTGCTTTCAAATTTTCTGTCCAATCAGTTATGGAAGATAATCGTAAATAAAACAATTGCGCTTGTACATACATTACTTCAGCATTCATAGTCATCTTTTTACTATATGAATAAATAGTAATTAATTAAAATAACTCAGCTCTTATAATTTTAATTTAGTTATCATTTGTTTATACGAAAAAAACTCCTCGTGAATATGTTTTGGTCAAGTTCAACTTCTATGGATAGATTTTCTGGCAAATTCCTGGATGTATTTATACATTAAGTTAGCTGAAGACAGATATGTGTGTAAAACGTCATATACTTCATCATTTACTTTAAACAAAACAGTTTCTATGAGACCATTTGTGGATAAATGGTTGATTTTGTATGAACAGTTAAATTTAAAATGACATACGTTTATGTTACAATACAAATATCTTCTGATTATTTGACTATTACTAGTGTAGTTTGTTTTCAAGATGTGTGCGATGTATTATTCAGGCTTTAAAAACCGTAAAGATATCTTATTTTCCATGTACTACAAAGATCAAAAGCCCTTCTGATTACACCATAAAGATAAATGTAGATGTATGAATAATATTTGCAGCTTTGTTTAGTCTTAGTTTTTGTTGTTACTCTGTTTCACTAAAAAAAGATTTTATTTTATTAACATTAGCATGTACTTTTAATTTCCTGTCATTAACAGAATAATGAAGTTCTAACTACTGAACGAACAAAATCTGACTCGCATTTGGAACAGAAATCGCTATCTGGAAATGATATTTGTTTTGTCGATGCTAATGTAGATTCGGAACATGAATCAATATCCTTTCAGATTTTAAATCTTCACCACCGTTTTAAGGCTTCAAATGAATGTATTGACTGTGAATCCATCCGCAGTTATTCCAATATATTTTACAGCTCATTACCATTAGATGAAACAAAAGAGATAGAAAAACTAGATCGAAAGGAATCAGCTTTTCAAATAATTGATCATGCTAATGACAATGATGAAAAATCTGATAAGAAAAGCACATGTGAAACAGATTTGTGCACAGAGCAGACATTCAATAATGCTTTGCTTGGAAGTAGTCTTAATGAAACAAATAGATTCATAATCGAGGAGGAGCCCTACGGTGTGGAAGAAATCGAGGTTTACGAATCAGAAAAAGTGTCTGATATTATCTCTACTAATAGGACATGTCAGCCTGTCACTGAGATGGAGGTGAGTATAGTAATTTGTAAACCAAATGCCCACACAGATTTGTAATTAATTCAGTATAAGTCATATTTCGTCAATACCTGTTTTTCGAAAAGTATAAAACTGATTTTAAATGACTCTCAGCTCTTTATGTTATTCATAATTTACTGATAAAAATGAGACAAGTTGACTGGTTTTGGAGAAATGTGAACTTTTGTGATTTTTCAGATGTTTTTATCACAAAGGCTATATACTTCTTTGTAAGTAATTTGTGAAATAATTCAGAAGATTTCCATTATTATGTTATCTAAACAGGGACATAATCGTTCACTGGAATAGGAAATTAAGTAGTCAAGAAAAAGAGACTATTTTTAGATTTCATCATTTTTAATAACGTGCAAATTATAATTTTTATTGATGGCAGTTGGATTAACAAGTATATCATTTCTAACAAAAATAAGGTTTGGGAGAGATTGAGTTGCTGTGTTGTAGATGTTCTGTACAGACTTGAAACTCGTACATTATAAGTATTATTAACAAATTACTATGAATATTGAAGCGAAGTTCATATTTGTTATGAACTACACAAATCTACCTTCTGCTTACTTATATGTGTATTTATGTGTACAAATGTAGTCAGTTCAACATTAAATTGTATTTAATCGATCATTATAAAGTTATTGATACACGGCTACTTACCTAGGAGTGCCAACAATATTCTGTGAACTAGACACTCAGTGTGGGCACTAAACTGAATGACGTGATAATTTTAGAAGTTTCTGCTTGTATTAGACATTTTTAGAAAGTCTACTAGAAACCTTTGGTTTGCGTTTGTATATTATGTATTAAAAACCAGCTGGAACATTTATGTTTATAAAGTACATTATAAGTAGGGCTAGTCAATCGTTATCCATAATATCTGGACTTTCCAAAGTTTGTTGAATGGCTTTTCTTCAACCTTAGTCTATTTAAATATATAAACAGTTCGAGACATTTGTACTTACTTATTTATTAAGCTCACAGAATGTAGCTACTAGAATCGGAACTTTCTACATAAGAGTCACAGATTTCTGTGTCATACTCAATTGGGTGCTTCAACTGATCCTTATGATAACTCGAACATTTTTAATATTAGATAACTCACTCCATTAACATCATGGAACTAACCTTAAGCCCTATTTCTGTTAAGGTATTTTCACGCGAAAACTTTATGGAGTAGCATTGAATGAGGGATTGAAAATAGTTTTACTAGATTTATGCATTTACCTTAGACTGTTATTTGGTAATCTTTGTTAAATAAAGTATGTTTAGAAATGTTTCTTATATACCACTTTTGGGTTAGGGATAGGTTGCGAAAGTAATTTTGTAGCTACTGGATTGTAAAAAGACCTTCCGGAATCGCTAACAAGAACCATAAACTTCTGATTAGTAGCTAATAAGTATATGATTAGTTAGAAATTATTGTAGAAATATCAGTGTTAACAAACGGCTCCACAATCTGTTACATAACGCTTTAAAGAAAAATTCTTAAGCTCATGAAAATGTTACACTTTAGGTCTTCTGAAATAAACTGTATATACATATATATATACAACAACTTTAAAAAATAAATTACTAACTTTGTGTGTTAACTTAATCTTCTTCAAAACCATTTAAACCACAAAACAAGATTTCATTAATTAGTGCTTATTTAAAAACAATAAACAAACGTACTCTACTTTAGAATGAATTCTACTTACACAGTAACTTTGCCAATTACATATTTGTAAGTAAATAAATACTACTTATGCAAACATTTAGAATTTTTCGAGCAAATGTATTAAAGTTCATTATACTTCCATGAGTTTTTCAATGAATACTTATAAGCATTCTCAACAGTCAAAACAATTATTAATCAAAGTCAATTATATTTATTAAATGCTTGATTTTAACAAAAATTCTTGTTGAAGAACAGTAATATAATAAGCAAGTGTTTCAGTTCCCTTCTACGTATGCATAAAAGTACGTATAGAACTTTAGAAGTATGTTTATCGTTATGAGAGATAATACAGATGACTTTCTTATAAATGCGATTGAATCCATAAGTGTTATCAAACGTGTAAATTATTCAGCGTTGTCATAGAAAATGAATATACTACAATAATAACAAATATGTAAATTGATGAAATAACATCTAAAGTTAAACATTGAGAAGTAAAATGTAACCTGTAAAAGCATGAAAACTAGTGTTTGATGTTAAAAAAAACTAAAGCAAAAAGCGGTATTTAAAAAAGGAATTTTTAAGAATGTAGATTAAGTGTACCGTAAGAATAGAGATTGGATAATTTTGTCTAGAATTCTTTATTTAAAAAGAACTCCTGAATACATAAGTTCAAACAATAAATTTTTCGAACTAACGACTATTGAGTTAACAGGATTACTATTTAGAGATACAGTCACATACAAATTCAAGAGTTCACACTGTTATTTTATTAGTGATACATTGACTTTGGAAAATAACTTCCTTTATGTTATTTGTTAGAAGAAATATCTTACTTTACATGACTGAATAAAAATCACGCAATAAATGAAAGTGGAAATTTTTGAAGATGACCTATAAGTGAATATTTATTATTTTGTATTAATATAGAAGTATTTTTAATTGTTGATAGTCATTAAGAATTAAGTCTAACAGCTGTTTCTTTTTTTCCCTCTAATGTATTCGATAGAAGGCAGTTTTTGTTTTAATTATTTTTCTACTATTTTTTCACTATAGTTGATCTTTATGTTTATTTATTATAGATTAGTTCACAAAATCATTTATCTTTAATAAATTCGACTAATTGGCAAATATTTTGTTGTATTAGCGAAGCGGCATTTACGTCAAATATCACAGATTCATCATCAACTGGTCTGCAGATTTGCTTGGCTCAACCAGGTAGTTTTGTTTCAGTAAAATGGTATATTAATGTTCTTAAATATTTTTGACGTTTAGTTAATTGAGTGATTAAGAACTGAGAATAATTCTCAAAACAAAACAGATTTTAGAGCCGTTTTATGCTAAATCAAAGTGGTCGTAAATCACTTTTTCGGTTCAAGCTGCTCCACGAATGACAAGTAATTATGACGAATACTTTCAGGAGTTCGCAAATATATACGAGACTCATAAACATGAAAATACAACGGCAGAGTTCTTAATTTTGTAAGGTTCAGAATTAGTTGAAAATAATTATGTATTCACGCCCACTAAAAAGACGACCATCTCGGAAACAAATGAATGTATGGTTCTTTAAAAAGTATCACACAGAAGCTGTGTTACCCGTAGCTAATAAACCAGTTTACTTATTAATATTTTCACCTTATAAGAAACGATGATGTCATCAGTAGTTTAAAGGCAAGTGTCGATCGTATGTACTGAGAATTGATCTTACCTAACCATAACTATTCATCACATATTAAATATTCGACGGAAGAGTCATTCGCTACTAAATCATACTCTCTTACTTAGTAAGTGATGGCAAATAGCGAATGTAAATAGAGGTAAATCTTCATATTTTAGATGGGCAATGTGATAGGTCATTAGTATATTCGTTTAGTAACATAATAAAGTGACACAGAACTCCATTGCTTTTAAAAGCCAGTTGTCTCTAACCGTTAAAGCATACATTTATAAGTTTTATTATTATGAAAACTTAAACACCTGCTTACATACGCCTGCTACCCCTCGTCGAGGAGCATAGGCCGCCTACCGGCATTCTCCATCCAACTCTGTCCTGAGTAATTCTTTCCAGTTCTTTCCAGTTGCTATTCATCCTTTTCATATCTGTTTCCAGTTCCCAACGCAGTATGTTCTTTGGCCTTCTTTTTTTCCGTTTCCTTTCACGATTCCAAGTTATCGCTTGCTTCGTAATGCAGTTTTTTGATTTCCTCAATTTATGTCCTATCTAATTTCAGCGTCTTTTCCTAATTTACTCTTTAGTCGAAGAATGGTTTGTTCTCTCCCACAGAAGGCTGTTGCCGATGGTATCAGACAAGTGAACATTCATCATCTTATTGTTTATAATGGTTTATGATGATTGTACAGCAGAACTGTCTCGATGTTCGTTTTGAAGATTGTGAGTTCGATGTCGACTGATAGTTGTTTGGAGTTCAATATGTTCTTCAACTATAGGAATACTGTCCATACCTTGCCAATCCTTTCCTTTACGTTTGCATCAATCCTCCTTGTTCATCGATGATGCTGTCTAGATGAGTATAATTCTTCACCTGTTCCAGAGCTTCTCCATCCAGTGTGATTGATTCGGTGCTTTCAGTGTTGTACTTGAGGTTCTTGGTTTTTCCCCTGTGTATGTTGAGGCCTATTGCTTCACTGGTTGTCTTGACCTGCATTTGTTGATGTATATGGTATAGAAGAGACAGGTCATCTGCGAAGTCCAAATCTTCTAGTTGATTCCGAGCTGTCTCTCGTATTCCATGGTTCCTTTCAAATGTCGAGGTCTTCATAATCCAGTTGACTACCAGAAGTAAGAGAAAGGGAGAGATACAGCAGGCAGCCTTATTTGACACTGCTCCTTACTTGGAATGAGTTTGTCAGCTGTCCTCCATACTTAACTTTGCAGTGTACTTCCTCGTATGAATTCCATATGATGTTGATGATTTTCTCAGGCACACCATAGTGTCGAAGACGTTTCCATGATGTACTCCTGTCCACACTGTCAAATGCTTTCTCATAATCAAGAATGTTGATGCATATTTACGAGTTCCATTCAATTGACTGTTTAACGAAGATCTGTAGTGTGGCAATTTCGTCTGTGCACGATCGATCTTCACGAAATCCAGCCTGTTGACCTTGAAGTTCGGCGTCTATTGAATTTTCCGTCTGGTTCAGTAACACTGTTGAAAAAGTTTCCTGGCACCGATAGTAGCGTGATTCCTCTGTAGTTCTCACAATTGTAGAAATCCTTCTTTGGTATCTTGATGAGATATCCTTCTTTCCAGTCTGTCAGTACTTGTTCTTATTCACGAATCTTCCTGAATAAAGCGTTCAGTATCTTTGAAATCATTTCCATGTCTGATTTCACTGTTTCGAGTGGTACAATGTCAGTTCCTTCTGCTTTCCCACTCTACATTTGTCTGATGACTAACCTTATTTCTTCGATTGTTGATGGAATGACATATATAGAACGGTCTGTGTGCGCTGCTTTGATGTCCAGTGGATTCGTTGGAGCTAATCTACTCAAGAATTCCTCGAAGTGTTCTGCTTATCTGTTCCTCTGTTCATGAATCTCAGTGGTTGGTTTACCTTATTTGTCTTTGGATGGTCCCTCTGGTTCACAATGTTTCCCTTCTAGTTTTTTTTGTTGTATCGCATAGTTGTGATGCAAATATGACAATTCGTTCCTCTATAGTGCGATCCAATGAGGTTTATGTAGCTTTTTGTATTCGTTTGTTTGTGAACATTGTGACGCTTATAAACATTTTCTTGAGTGCACATAAATTTTGGAATCTATAACAATTCTCGTCCCTCTCTCCTGGTCCATGTCGTCCCATGATATCTTCATATTCGGTGTTGTCCATTCCAACTTAGATGTTTAGATCTTCCATCAGGACGGTCAGATCTTTTACTTGGTACTTCACTATAGTCGGGTGCAGCCTTTCGTAGGACTGATCTTTATCGTTGACATTGCTATTATTAGTGTGTGCATAACATTTGATAATATTCCTTGTAATTCCCTCCTTCTTTGTTTTGAATGATGCTTTGATGATCCTGGATCTACAAGATTCCCACACAACAAGTGCATTTCGTGCTTCTTTGGACAGCATCAGAGCAACTCCCTGAGTGTGTGGAGCATTCTCCTCTTCGTGACAGGAGTACATCAGCATCTCTCCTGTACCTAACCTTTTCTGTCCAGCTTGGGTTCAATGGGTTTCACTTATTCTGAACATCACCAGGTTTTGTCTCCTCGTTTCCGTAGCTATTTGATTGGTCCTTCCGGTATTTCACATTTGTTTATCCGGGCCTGCGACCTACATTAATCCTAGAAGAGCTACAGACGAAGTTATTATAATAACAAAGTGGATGTTTAATACGACTTGGTGTTCAATGAAAAAATATATAAATCTCATTTATTTAGATTTTTCCCTAGTCACTATGAAGAACGTTTAGGTAATATTTCTAGCGTGCGTTTATTCAGAAGCAACCTTGCGTTAAAAATATATACTAACAAGTTCTTATTAGGTTCAGCCGCGATGAAAATTTATATCTGAACAGATATTCCATAATACCTGATATCTTTTATATCATAAATTGGCACTAACTAGAGAAACTGAAAATGGACTAATAGGTCGTTTGTTTAGGATTCCAGACTCCTAAGAAGTACACTTCCACGACTCAGTATTACATAGAACCATTGGCTTTTGTTTCATAAAAGCCTTTCAAACATCGAGTAAAAGTGTAAAAACATTTTCTTCATAAAACTCGTAATAACAAATATTCAACCTACTAGAGAAATAATTTTACATGTGTATTATTCATTCCTACCCCAATGTTCTAGTCCATCAAATGTAAAACTAAACTATATGAGTTACACGAAATGGTTAAATGTTGCCTAACTTCGTTCATCTCTTTCTATTCTTTTCTCCCTTTCCCTTCCATTAAAATTATTCCCTATGATGAATATAGTAAACCAATATCATAGAGATGGTGGATTTGATTACCCAGAGGAAAAAAGACTTTTGTTGTTACATACTAACCTAAAACATGCAAAAAATATCAATAATTCCTGACTAAATGACTGAAATATACACATCAATCAGTAAAGAATAACTAATTTTACGTCGTTAATTCAACACTGCCAATTTCAATGTATATTTATCCCATTTTTAGTGTGATTATATTCATTGTAATTAATGCTGTGGTGTTTGTATTGCTGCTAGATCAGATCACATTTAATCAAAACAAGATTGACTTCATTGATTTGTAACTCTTACCATATTTTACCTTCATAAATAACTAAAATACATCTATGTAATTAAAGTATATAATCCTATGAAAACTAATTCTTTTGACTACTTGATGTTGACGATAGAATCAAATGTCTTCCCGATATAGTAATAACTAGGTTGAATTATCCTTGAAAGTAACTTCGTTAGCAACTATATTTGAAGTAGACAGTTGGTAAAATTTCCGTAATAAGTTGGCAAGAACTTCATAACAATGTTTCAATTTCTAAGTAAATAGAAATAGCATTTCTCTCATATCGATACAAAATATTAGCACTAGGTTCCTTTTAAGTGGCTTATTCAGTATTTAATTTTTGACTTAGTCGGTTAAAATTTAATCAATGAAGTGTAATTATATACTAGTGGATAGTTTATCGTACTAAGATGTTATACACCACAGTTGACTTCTTCTCAGAAAACCTATCTAAAACATTTTGTTGTAATGTTTTTGATTTTATTTCTGAAATGCTACTTTTGGAAATTCAAGAATCGTTTGATGTATTGAGTGTATTACGTTGTACACTTACTGAACAATTCTATAACGTACTAGAGTTTAATCATATGCAAGAAACATAAATTGTTGAATGAAGTATCTTGTTCCAGTTTTAAATATGTCTGACGCTAACACTTTTTGCTTGTACCAGTAACTGTGATCACAGTTTTACCAAATTTGGGAAATTAGCGATGAATGAACACTAAAAGGTGACCTTACTTTTTAATATTATTGTCAAAAAATATATATTAATGATTCAACTTGCAGATAAGATTTATTTAAAGCTAGGGACAAGCATAATATACCCTTGTGGGCCAGGGTAATTTTACATTGGTTTTCAGGAGAACCAGACACCATCCGGACTCTCACGTAAAAACCCAAACAGTGCAGCTCAACCCCGTTTAGCAGAGGAACCAGACACCGTACAGGCCTTAACGCTACAA